CTCTCCATACTTGCACTCATCCCTGGCAACCCCGGGTAAGCCCTGGCAGCCCCAGGCACTCTCATTCCTTGGCCGGTTTCATGATGTTGTGGCCGGTTCCACGATGCTGCATGCTCCATGCGAAGGCCCTGGCAACCCCAGACGCAGTCAAAGCCCTGGCAGCCCCAGGCACTCTCATTCCCTGGCCGGTTCTACAATGCCACATGCTCCATGTGAARGCCCTAGCAACCTTCCATGGCTAGTTCCAGGACGTTGTGGCCAGTCCAACAATGTCGCATGCTCCATGCGAAGGCCCTGACAACCCTAGGTGCAATCAAAACCTTGGCAGCCCCAGGCACTCTCATACCATGGCCGGTTCCACGATGCCGCATATTCCATGCGAAGGCCTTGGCAACCCCAAGCGCATCCACACCTCTAGACAACCTTTGGGGGGCTTTGTCGACACCAGGTATGATCCCTATCTAGTCTACAACCGCAGACACTCTATCTAACTCATAAATGCAATGATCTAAGGGGGAATAAACCCCACCCGCCTAATACATTGGCGTGAAAACTTTGCCAAAAGAACAACAATAACTTCGACGAGTAATATCTCATTTCCACAGGAAGGCTGATACAGCCCTCTCATGTGATGACCATACTCACAAAAGCAACATGTTACGAAGAAGCTATAACTTATGCCAATTATTCATACTATGACCAAACCTTAATTGTACCGCCTATGAAGGGTCATCAAAGACTTCAAACACAACAACATTGCGATATTGAACAACTCCATCCTACGAGCATGCTAGTCACCCACTCGTTTATATCACACAATCTGAGTTAGCTTACTCTCATCTGACAATATCTCAACGCGACATAGTARCATCGCTCAACCTCTCTAACGCACTRCGATAAAGCCTACTACGCCCATGCCGATACTTAATTCGCCATTATCTCCCTTAGTGACATCCAACACACTTGCATAGAAGTCCCAAATTACGGGATACACGCGATTTATTTATTTTCCACTCCACTTGTGATGTTACTAAATTGCGATTAACTCCCAAATTTTTGTAAACAATCTATGGCAGAGCGCACCCGCTTCAAATACATGTTCGATAAAAATCATATGATATTTTTCAAAGCAAATCTCACACACTAACAAGTGATAAGCTCCGCACTCATGAATCACCCCCCTATGTATATGATAAGTTGTTCACATCATGTCAAGATAACTTTATCGCACTCAGCAATGTCTTAGAGGAGTAAAATAGGAAGCATACAAAAGCATCCACTCGCAATGAATTCGATCCCCCAGGCCTCATTTGACGTTCACAGACGCAATGTACAGTTAATCAACACACGACATATTTCAAGACGATAAGGCTCAAGGATAGTCAGCCCTTTACCCTGGCAACCTATGAGCAATAGCCGTTAACTTCCCATTCTCTAAAAACACTGCACACCGCAACGTCCCGAATCCCCATTAAAATCCAACAACCCTTGCGACGAGCCAACAATCARCCCTCTTTACCATTTTTTACAAATTAGATTTTTGTTACACACAAAATCCATAAGTTTTTTTTTTTTTCTCTTTCTTTACATCAAAAGTAAATGTTCATCACTTAGCCCATTCCTCCCTCCTGTCCTTTATAACTTCCGAAACCCAGCTACATTCTTCAAAATACCGGAAGTCTTTCAACTCCGCCGACGGGCACATTCATCCATTAGCAACTCAAGCTTCTCCATCGTTTTCGCTATTTTCACCTCAACAACCTTTCGGCGAAGGTGCGCATCATTTAGAGAACAGAACAAGACAGATCGCGATACCTCCGGACCAGCCTTCCAAAAARCATGGGCTAATATGACAACACGCTCCTCGATCTGTGTCATAAAGAAGCCCATTCCAAAAAAACCCTCGGCAAGCCTCCAGCCAGTGGGCAAAATCGGACCATGAAAACTCCTCAACTGTGCGGGTCATCACACGACTTCGGGATGTAGATCTCCCTCTGGCAACCACCCAATCCGTATGGTAATCAAAGCAAACTGTGCCACTAAGCTAGATACGCTGTATTGGACGCCCTTACGATGGCCCTGAACTGAAACAGGATCCACAACCGAGTAATGTAGACGGGATGTCATGATTATCGCAATACTCCATAAGCTCCTGTCGTATCCGAACCAACAAATCTTCATCAGTCAACTCCTCAGGCAGAAAGACAATCCCAGGTTCCCCTGTCCCCGTCCCCTAACTGATGCTCCAAGTTACGGGAGACACCAAACTCCCCAACTGGGGCCTCTAGCTCAACAAAAGCATTAACCCCAGGTTCCACACACTCGTCCCCAGGCTGATTTCCCAGGCCCTCAGGGGCACCAACCCCCGCAACAGAGGTCTCTGGCTCGGCATCAGTCCTGACTCTTACATCCGCAGAGGCATCAGGCTCGACAGGTGGGGCAGCAAAGACTTCTTCACGACGAATGGTTGGGTTCGTGTCTGCGACCACCTAGCCTACCTCCCGCACCACAGCATCAGGAGCAGCATCGCCACCCTCAGCACCCTCAGCAGCCCTAAGATCATGATTGGGGGGCTGCGATGATGTCAGGTCCTCCACTAACCGCTTGATAACAAGCGTGGTCGGCACATCGGAGATACCCGCAGGAAACGAGGCATGCTATAGGGTAAAACGAACAACCAGTGCAATGGATTCAAGCGAGGCACAAGCAGTATATCAACAAAATAGCAACCTAGTTGAGCCTCGTCCGCGTCTACGCACTTCAAAACAAAAGACTGAACACTAATCAGCTATAATCACAACATACAGTCACGTCAACTACAAAGAATGACAATAAACGTATCAACAAAACAAGTTTACTCACCAAGTTTGCCGTATCCGAAGGAACTGCCGGAAGCCCCGCGCCCGATGGAGTGTCGCGAGTCTCAACAGACTTGAGGAAAAATAGCAAACCAAGCAACACTCAGCCACAAATCGAAATGGAACAATGTCAAAGTAAAGAGGACTAAAAGAACAAGGTGCGCACCGAATCTTCCTCCCCCGGCGCCCTCTTTCGAGGTTGGGGAGCCATTTTCTTCACGCAGCTTGCTCGAAAAATGGACACATGTGACCCTTTGTGGTGGGATCGCAATTGCCGATTGCGCGAAGCCCACATTCGAGTCATCATCGCTCCCGGGTGTTGGAGCAGAGGGATCCTCCATGACCTTRGACCGATACTCCCGGTCATTAAATGAAGCCATGTCTGATGCTGCAGCCTGAGGCACAACTGGTGGCTGAATGGAACACGGGAGAGTCTGACGAGGCACCCTCAAGGATCATGGCCTTATCACCGGCGGACGGCTACTCTCCCCCTCATCTGCTGGACGTTTCCCATCGCGCTTTGTCATCGTTCTCTGTGGCACGGGCGACAAGGGAGCGGCGGGACTATTTCCCTGGTTAGCGGCATGACCTTCAAGGGGACCCTTGACGTGACGGAGACTAGAGCCTGCGCACAACTCCTGGAAACCCCCGAAAAGCGCACAGAGATAAGAAAGCCGGAGGGAAGCACAACCCTACACCCGCGCAAAACCTGCGACGGGGAACCGTGTGCACCCAAGGAAGGCCAACTCATGTTGCCGAGTCCAGAAGACGCCTTCCCTGGCAGATCTCAGAAACTGAGCACCCATGTCATCGTAGTCAAATTGACGAAGTACTCGATCCGGTCGATAAACGCTGAGTTGAGCATCCCCGCACGATCGAGGTATGCAATGGAGCAAGGCCAAGTTATTAGTCACGCTATGCCTACGGCAGAGCTCTTCGCATCGACGGCGCACTGCTGATCACTGTCCTCTGGAACCGGCATACCAACACAGAAAGGCATAGAATGCCACACGGCTTGTGTGTACGGCCTCCACACAAATCCGTCGAGCGAAGACAGCCTGACGTCGATGTCACTTATTTTAAAATCCTTTTGCCTGTTGGCCTAGAGCTAGTGCTTTCCTCTATAGGCTTCAAACACGTTTTCTTCAAAGCTACCCCCCTCCATAGTGGTGACTTGAACGCGCATCAGAGATAGGCGACCGGGTGTGACGCTGTGGTCAAAGCGTTCACACAGGAACCTCCATAGAAATGGCACGCAAATGTAATGTAGCTAATGTGCCTCTTACAGGAGGGGTCCATCATCTGTTGAACAATGTCATCCATCTGCTCGTACAAAATGTAATTGTGAAGCCACATACAAAATGTAGAAGGCGAGATGACACTGCGTATCCGCACCCCAGACCATCACGTCCCTCCGACCATGGGACTCGAACCAGTATTCAAGCAGGCCTCCAACGGCATCTTTCTCGAGMAGTGGACCGATCTAACTATAACCTTGTAAGCCGCAATCTCCCCAAGCAGCTCGTCATAGAGATCCCTCAAATCTGCCGGAATGGATTCAATGTGTTGCAAATGATGAGCTGACAAAACGCCCCCAACGGGCAAAGCCACCAAAGCGGCCACATCCTCAACGGTAACCGTGAACTCCCCGAACACACCCACAAAGGTATGAGTGCGGCAACACCAATGCTCCAGAAGGTGCCTAACGTACTTAACCCCCTTCCTACCAGAAAGATTCGTATAGCAATCTACAAACCTGAGGAGCCTGAAGTCCTGCAACATGCGGAAATACATGGAGCTCTCGAGGATAAATTGCGTCCAAGCAGTGTAGTTGTTAGCAGACCTCGAACCATCGGTCCGAGGCTCCTGACATTTGTAGGACACAGAACGCTCGGGATGGTCACACAAACACATTAATTCCGTGCTAGCAATAACATCGAAGGTCCCTCCCTCGCCTCTACACACCAGCATCGGTGGCCAAAAAGCCCTGCCACCATCCGCCATCGTAGCCTCCTCCCTTTTAGTTATAAGTTTCATCGTATCCACTTCCCTAACAAAGTCAGGGAAGGGACATTCAGTCCTTTTCCCTACACTCTTCTTCATCTCTTTCCCAGCCTCCTCTACCCTTCGCTGACAGGGAGCCATGAACGAAAAGCGGATTGCAAAAAAGGAAAAAGTTGCTAAGCGTATAAGGAGATGTGGAGAACACAGCAAGTCGATGAGAACAGAATAGTTTCCCCCTTTTTAACATGGTTCCCACGTATTGGGAATGATCACCAGGGAAGACGAATTGGTGCAAGCRCGTGACCCCAGCCGATGCTTGACCAAAAGTAACCCCATAAATTCAAAAGTACCCTTCAAAAGGCAGGTTAAAACGGCGCATTAATTCAAAAAGAGGCGCCATGTCCGAAAGGCTACCCCGGTTTCCATCATTAACAGAATTTGATACGCCATCGAATCATTCACCATGACAAACACTAGGAATTGAACGGCATGTCAGACCACCACACAGGGGGGGCTCCGCCCCTGCTAAGCCATTAATGATATCACACTTTGGGGGGTGGGGGGGCGGCAGCTTGACGCCCCAACCGATACCTCCACACCAATAGCCAAGGGGGCTAAAATTTATACAAGCTTGCCCATTGGTAGAAAGAAAATGAKTGGTAGAAGTAACTCTCAGTGTCTTTCCAATTTCCTTCCCATCAACGGTCGGGGGGCTGAAACATACAAACAGAGCACATAGCACTAACCATTGACRGGAARGAAATCATCAAAAGACGGGGGGCTAACCATGGAATGTAAGAAACTACCACCACGAACATAAGGCATACAAGATTTACACAAAGCTATAAAACAGGGAAAATCTCCAAACCCAACGCACACAAGTGAACCCATTACAAAACCCAAAAACAAGAAGGCAAAGTGCTTATCAATAAGTTCCCACTTACCGATAAGTAGGGGAGTTAATGTAGGTATATAGTGTCCGCTCAGACCCTCGAAGAACATTAAACACTAAACTAACATCATAGGATTGCATGCGAACAGCCCACAGTCAACCTTCCACTACGATGAACCCACAACGCACCACAGGTTCTACAATGAACTCACAGAGCGCATCGCAAAATCACGACGAACCCGCAGTTCATCGCACGCCTACAAGCCCATTCGCTACCCAAGCCAAGAGAGACCTGGGATGAACCCACAGCGAGGCCCACACGTGCCCAAATCCACAATAGTTCCACAGCCCATCAAGAATACATGACGAAACGCCACGTAGGATTAACAAAATACCGCCCGCTTGGCAGTGACGTCGCTAATGCAACATCAATTAAAATAAAACGCACGAGAAGTAGTAGCACACGTGAGTAATAAGGGATCTTGAGGGGAAGGAAGGTCAATCCTCAGGAAAATCCTCATGAGACATGTGGAGAAACCCTAATGGTGCACTTAATGATTGACAACAAATCCAAGATTCCCTTTCCCGATAGGAAACAAGCACCTTTATCTCCTACCTTTTAGGATCTTGGGACCTCCCCCGTAAATAAAGATCCTCATCGTATTGAAATTCATTCGATACTCAGCATTCAGCATTCAATACCCAACACTCAATACTCGATTGTACCTCACTTCCGAATTCCCTACCCCTAATACTCTTAACCACAAGAGTCAACCTCTCTACTCACCGGCCTCTCTCTGTCTTTCAAAGAGACCGCTTCCATTCAAGCCTCACCCTACCTACAAGCATTAGCTTTATTGTTCAAGTCACCCATACTATAAATGTTGCTTATTAGTACTACCCACATTCTAAAGCTGACATCTAAGCAATCAAACCAAGTGCCAACTTTGATTCTTTAAGGTTTTCTGGGAGCTAGGGTTCAATGCAAACTTATGCTATTCTAGTATAGCAATTTTTTCTATTAGACTAACTAAATTTTCAAAAGGCAAGTGAAAACAAAGACTGTTGAAAGGGAATCTACACCATCCTGGTAATGGTCCTTCAAGATATCTATTGCTGTAGTGAGTATAACAGGTTGGATTCTGGAAAACCAATCTATGTTGGGTGTTTATTATGTTAAAGAAATGTACTTCAACTTTTGGTGGAATGAACGAACTATATTTTTGAAAGAAATTAGTCTTGTCCTTCAATCTAGTCTTGTGGAACTCCCTGTTTATAGATAGTTTTGTTGGAACAGAAGTACTGCAAATATGTGCAGTAACATAGTGGCGTGTTGCTATATTGTTAGAGATGAGAGGTTGAAAAAGAATGGTTTGGTGCGTGTTTCTTTAGGGAATTTGTTAGATATGGGGTGCTGATATTCCTGGTATTGTGAGATTTTTTGATGCACTTGTGCTTGGTAAAGATAAGGATCATGACTGGCAGATTTAATTCCATTGGGTGGGTGCAGAGTGGGGAGGATTTAATTCCACTTGTTCACATTTACATGAACAAGACATCCCAAGGTGTGAAGGATGTGCCTCATGAGTCTTGAGGTATTTTCTTTGAGCCCATCTCAAGGAAAGCATCAAGGTGTAAACTGCATAAGCCTCATATGCTACTTACAGTAGAGACCAGATTCAGTCTTCACAAAATTTGTCCTTACATTGTCCTCACARCACTTRTAGCCATGCATTTGGGACATCCCCATACTTATATTTTTTCATTCATGGGGAGATGTTCCCTATCCACGGCTGCAATTAGGCTACTTGAGGGTTAACCCAAAGCTCAACTTGACCTATGGCCTAGTCCAACCTTTGGGTTTTTAGCTTAACAAAACATAATTCCTCAAATCAATATGAAATTTGAAAGAAAGGTACAAATAAGATTGTCAAGGTTTTATTCTTTCTACAATCAACCCCTAGGAGAAGAATGATCTAAAGATTTTTTCTCTAGTTGATGAATAATTTGTAATTAAGGTATTTGTTTGATTAATTGGAGGCATCAAGGTATTTGTTTGATTTGTAACGAAAGAAATTAATATTTTAACACATCTATTGAATAAAAAACTATTGCTAACAGTAACACTCTAATGCCTGACTCGCAGGGAGTGGTGAAGGAACTCAAGAAATATTCCAAAGTTGAATACCCAAAAGGAAGACAACTATCATTACCAATGGCTTGTACTGTTAATATGTCAATTGGATATTGTTGGAAAATTTTAAAGTTTTTAAGGTTCTTGTAGTGTAAATATGTCAATTGGATATTGTATTTGAACAATTTGTTTTTGGATTTTTTTAATGTAATTAATCTTTAAATTACTAAATGTTTTAAATTACATTTTTTATTTATCAAAGTTGTCATGTATCAATTGTCATAGGATTTCTTAAGTATATTAAAATGCTAAAACATTAGAAAAAGTTAGGTACCAAAAATGCTGAAATTAAGTAGGCATATATTTATTTTAAAAAAGAAAAAGGTCTATGCCGGCGGTCAGTATCCACCGGCTAGCTATGAACAAGATGGGAAGTAGTGTCATGTAGGACCTAAGGCAGTGGTCCTACGTGACACATGTCAGGGTTGAAACATGACAAGATTAACCATCTGACTGGGTTTGCTTTGTTCATATAGAGTAGAAACTAGATAGAACTGTTGGTTACTCAAAACAATTATAGAATAATAGTGAGTTATAATCCATTCCAGGAGTCAAAAGAATAGCAGGAAAAGAAAAGTGTACAGCCATTAAGATCTGATATTGTTGAGCTTTTATGATAGAACATAGAAAGACCTTTATTTGTTTACGTTTTTGGCTAACAAAAGATCATTACAACATTTTATCGTACACGAAACACACTCCTTCCTCTTTTGAGAAAGCTCTAACAATTCATTGTCGTAGTCATGGAGGAGATTCAGAACAGATAAATCGATTGAAGGGAACAACCAAATCCTCATATCAGAATCCTCAAAACAATTTTCTATCACCATGTCTCAACTCATGGAGAAGAAACATTAAGGGTCTGTTTGGTTCACAGTCAGGACCAGAATTGGAATCGAAATTGGAATACCCTGGAATCAGAATAATCACCAATTCCCAATGCTTGTTTGGTTCAGACAGGAATCGGAATCAGATTCCAATCATTGTTGTTTGGTTCATTTGGAGTTTTGAATCGGAATCAATTGAAAATTTTCAACTTTGTATTAGTCTATTTATATTTTATTATTATTGTTTTATTATTTTATTATTTTTGTAATATTATYATTAGTACTTTATTATTGTTTTATTAGTATTTAATAATCAGAATCTTCGTATTTTATTATTAATTTATTAATATTTTATAAATATATATAATTATTTTATTATCACTTTATTATGAATATTTTAATAGAGGTTTAATAATAATTTATATTTTGTTAATAGTTTATTAGTATTTAATAATTGAAGTCTTAGTATTTATTATTAATTTGTGAATATTTTATTAATAATTTATTATTTTGATATTAATTTTATTTAATAATTAATATTTTGTTTTTAATTTTTAATTTATTAATATTTTACTATAATACAATTATTTTATTATTATGTAATTATTAAGATATTATTATCTTATTATTAATTTATTAATATTTTTATTATAGTATTATTTAATTATATTTTACTAATTATTTATTAATGATTTATTGTTTTATTATAAATATATTATTATTATTATTATTTTCGTAAAATGTAACGTAATATTTATTGAATCAAAAGCAGCACATACAAGCTAAGATCAGTCCCAGAAAGGCAGACCGATCAACTCAGCAATTACATACTCCAAGAACTAGAATGAAAAGCAACAGACAAATTACAATTTCTAAACTCCTTAGAAACTGACACCCAAGAGATTAACTTGCCCACAGCTTTCTGGATTAAATCTTCTGGACTTAAGGCCTTATTACAGAAAAGCCTACTATTCCTCTCAGACCAGATGGACCATAAGACAGCACTAGGAATAGTCTTCCACACCATCTTCCTTTTCTTAAGCCCTTTGATGTTCCGGCAACACAAAAGGTTGGTCCAATTCCGATTCCAAGCATCTATTCCAGGGAACCAAACCGACCCTAAGGATCTCAATATGCTTCAACGTGCAGCACCTTAATGATAAACAATTCCAAAACTGCAGAGTTAGAGAAGAACTACGGGGTTTTTACTGTTCAGTCCACCCCAACAAATCTTAGCTCCACCGTACAGTTGGGGTAAGTGCCAGCTCGGAATTGATGCCAATACACAGGCGGGTATTGGTGTTATAGGTGGAGTTGTTTGAAATTTTGAAATGTTGTAGGTCTGCAGTGGAATTCAGAATTCTGAGGTGGAGCAGTCTACTTATCCCACGAACTTATTTGTTGTTAACTCATACCCACTAAAGATAGTGAACAAAAACGCAGAATTATGAGGCTGGGAAGCCCATTGAACTAAGTACTACAAGCCTGTGCCGGGGGCACTTGAAACCTAAATTCAACTCCAAAACATCCACATATTCAGAAAAGCAGAGGCAATGAGGCAGATTATTGGCTATAACATGCCTAGCAGGAGAACAGATTATTGATTAAAATATAGCATAAGGCTTTTTAGAAATTTCTAACTGGTGTGTTACTTGTGAGGATATAATTCAGGCAACAAGACAAGAATGTTCATTTGGAAAACCAAAAAAAATTGGTCCAGCTTCAAAAGTCATGCTCAATCTTACACATAAAAACAAGCTGAAAATACAATAAAAAAAAAACTACAATTTTTATTTTTGACTGCCCATCTGGCATTTTCTCAGGTAAGAGTAGGGAAACAAATTAAAAGGGAAAGGAGAGAAATAATGCGCTTACTCTCAAAGARAAGACGACCCAGATCCAACAGCCTTCCAGAGCCGGACCCACTCCACCATAGCATCAGCTGCACGTCCAACCAAAGGATCCACTACCCCCAGCTTCTTCTTCACCATCTCAGCTAGCTCAAGCACGCAATCCTCTGCCACAACTGCAGTCCTTGGCAACCTCACAGACTGGAAGAAAGGGACAACATCTTCCATCAGCTTCATCCCCTCCCACTCCTTTTTCAAACTCTCTATGGCATCACCTCTTTCCTTTCTCCACACATATGGCAGACCACTCTTAACCCCTAGACCCAGGTGATCACATACCACCTTAGCACACATCCCACACCATATGTCCTCCATTGTTTCCCACCTCATCTTTCCTTCTCCTTCCAACCTGAGCCCTGGGAACAATGCAGGTCCCACCACCTCACGATCAAAGGCAACATTGATCCCACTCAAAGGCATTAAAGCTTGTTTTGGTACTGTCAAAACAGCATCAACATATCGAGAATTCCTACGTTCAGGCTTCAAGGCTTGTGTGGGTGCATCATAATCCGCTAAGTTGAGCCAGAGCCCACATGATAGGACACATTTCACTCCTTCCCGAAGGCTGAATGGATATCCACGAACAAAGTTGGCACCTTTACAGTACGGATCATAGAGTGTATTAAAGAAGAAAGGAGTTGCAGGAGTTCTGAGATTAGAAATATGCTGGGCTATAGCATCAACTAAAARGCCCTTCTCATCCTTTGCAGGAACACAATCATCATCAACTGAGACAATGTACTTCTTGCRGGAGACCAGATAGCCAAAATAACGACAAGAGTAACCAGAAAAAAGGTCGACAATGGAAGATGATCCCACAACTCTGTCAATATCAGACTTGGTGTACACATCACAATTAAAGCCCTCTGGTATTTTGAGATCCTCCTTGAGGTCAGGATCTTTCACAATTATCAGGTGAAATCGAGAAAAGACTGGTCTCCATTCCTCCATGAAAGAAGTAAGGTCAGACTGAAGTGCCGCAATAATAATATCAACCTCATCATCCTTGATGATAGTGTGAGACATTTTCCCAGAATCGAAAGGCAAAAACCAGTTCTGTCTCTTTTCAACAAGCACCAGTTGCTTGAGTCCTCCAAAGTATGTCTCCAGAGCAAATTTTGACCATTCAGAATTTCTCAGAGCACCCTGACCAGAGGAATTTAAAAGGTAAGAACATTATTAGAAAAACATGGAGGGTTTGTTTTATTGATAACTTACCGGTAGGGAGGACAGGGGTGATTATGTGCTGGATATTAAGTTCCTGAATAAGTGAGAGGATCTTTTCATTGCCGGTTGCCATGAATAGTTTCAAAACCTTCTCTGTTAGTTTTCCAGCTCCAATAATCTTCTGCACATTGAAAGGAAGGAAGGGGGGAGCACCGGAACAAGGGGAGGAAGTGCAATTAACCATCAGAATCAAAAATGAGGTCATCCAGGTTCAAATTGTCAAGTCTCAACACAAATAAATAAATAAATAACAGTACTACTATGTATTACTAAGAATCAATGCTGCAATATAATATAATGTCTGAACCAAAAGACTAGACTAAAAGATTAATAGATTACAAATTAGCCCAGTTAAATGCATCCAGAGATTTAATCCTGACCCAGTAGATTTACTCAAGATGACCTATATTGGGAATGATAAAGATAATGCTTCTAACTAGGCCATATTGCATTTTCACTTGGTTGCATTGTATGCACTTTGTGTATGGTTTACATATGGACTGCCCTTGACCGAGTGGTTTCCCTGGTTTATTCTATTAAGAATTAGGTTTGTTGTAGACAATCATTCTGAACGTTAGAGAGTGAAAGAGAGAGAGAGAGAGAGAGAGAGAGAGAGAGAGAGAGAGGGAGGGAAACTGAAGAAGTGCACCTAAAATGAAGATTTTCAAAATCAAAGAGACACAAGTAATCAATCAAAAAAGATATCATGCATAAAGCTTAGAACCAAAAAATGGCACCACAATGAATAATAAACAGACTCCAAACAGGCATTAAGATGTACCAAAAAGCCAACAATTAATCACACACATCACTCCATAGGCTTCATTGGAAACATCACTGGAAGCATAAACAATGTTATAAGCTCTCACCTTAAGAAATGAAGAATGTTATAAGCTCAATCATATCCCTTTTCATATTTACACATGGTAGACAGATTTTAGGTGGCATGCTCATTCCAAACAAGTTAATGAACACTGGAAAGAAGATAAAAACCTACGTGCTTTGCAAAATTGATATGGAAAAGGCATATAAGTCTATGACCATGTAAACTGGTAATCTCTTTTTGCACTATAAATTCAGCACTATTGTTTATACAGATRATATGGATCTCTTCAAAGTGAATTGGTSCTTTCTAAGATGAGCAAAGGACCTTTTGCATGATAGGTAGATCAGAAGATAAGAAAACCAATCGAAGATTCATCATTGGCATATATGGATTCACAAAGATTCTTTCATATGGAACTTATTAAAAACATTAACATGGTTTACACTTTGAAATTTAGGTTGGTTGAAGCTCTCCTAATTTGACTTTGCCTCAAGATACCAATAAGTAGCTAATGAAAGCTCCACATATAAAGGAAACTTGAATCATGTCCAAATTGAATGATCAGTATTATACCATTAAACCATACTAAGTACTAATGTGGGACTTGTGGTAACCATGCATTTTGAGTCATCTCTTTGGTATTCAGTGATCTACATCGTCCCAAAATTCCCCAACAGCAGGCACTTGAATTCTGTAAGTCTTTAACATAATGTCCATCCAGTATTGCATGAGCACACTGTTGACAACACAGATTCTGCGCAGGTGGAGGTCCATGTAGGATATGAAAATGAGCTCCAACAACAAATAAAAACCCACAACCAAAGATCATCATAGTCTAACAAAGCAAACTCGATTCAATTTTCATCAATCAAAACAACCATGGGCTTCAGATTGTGATCATATCATCCAAACCAAACCACATATACTATTACAATATACAGTAAAAAAAATCAAGTAACTAAAAATAAAAAATCATTAATAAGAAGATTAATAGCTAAGGGTGCAGTCGTTGAGATGGTCACTTGGACTCTCAGCGTCCCTCCAAAAAAGGGAGACGCAAGACCAAGCCCACAGAACTGTAGGCTGGAATACCCAAAAAAAAAAAATACTAAGTTTCCAAAATACATAGTAAACAGCTTTAGCTGATAGCTTTCTAAATTCTCCAAACAACTAAAAAGTCATGTCAATKTAGCCAAAATTTTGATTCCTTGTAGGTGATGCCCTTTATGTAAACGCCTAACATCATTACTTTGACTACATTAGCAACAAGGTTTCAAGAAAATCAAATAAAGAAGGAAATTGAAGCCAAACAAGAGGAACCCGTATCATCTAGAGAAATTCGCATCAAATCAACCAAGTCCAAGACAAGTTGATTATTTGCATAAAGAGATAAATCAGCAGAAAAACCTACATAGCAGACACATTTGAGTCTATTGAGACAACCCATGTTTTGCTCAAAGGAACAGATTGCTAGAATGAAAACTTAGAACAGAAAGTAGATAAACAGAAGAAAGAGGAAGAGGGAAATACCAGGAAGAGGTCGAGAAGAATATGCTCAGGAATGACAGAGAGATCAGAGAGACGATTGATGTTAAGAAGAGCAGAGTCAATTGCGAGAGAAAGGAGGGAAGGCGGTGGTCTCATTCACATATTCTGTTATTGGTTCTCTCTCTCCACCGAAAAAACTGAAATTGTGAAAAGAATTGGGCCAAGTTCTCGCCCTCGGACACGCGATTGCAGACCTTTTCCCCTCTTCTCCGCTCCCGCCGCTCTTCTTTCCTTTTTTCTTCCTTTTTTTTATTTTTTTCCTGGGAAGGAAGACTAGAGACGGTTGTTCCTATGCATCTCAGGTGGATTGTCTGAACTGAAGTGCTTCTTCTTGGATCAACAGCTAAATCTCCAAAACGAATCTAGGGTTTAGATTTCAGAAAAGTTTTCATTATGTGGGTCCCAACAGAGAGGAACATCAATTTTGTGTTCACTGGGAAATGCCCAAGCTGACGTGAACCCTTCCATTTGATTGGGTACACTGAATTTCGGATGGTTATCAACTACCGTAACCCGTCGATCTAGATTATAGCCGGACTGGGTCGGGCTTGCATATGTATCAACAGAATGCACTCAAGGCCCGAACTCATTTAATTTTTTTTTATTTAATAAAAAAGTATTTTATTTATATTAAAATTTTTCAAAACTCAACACTAATAAATATCTCATTATTATTTGGAAAAAAAAAGGAGAACAAAGAAAAAATATTGTATATGTATTTTTTATTAAATAAAATATATTTTTATTATTTAATATATAGTATCAAGTCAGGTTCGGGCTCAAGCCGGGCTTTTTTGGAAAAGCCTGAGCCTGACCCGAAAAAAAGTCGGGCCTGATGCTTTAGGCCCAARCTCGAGCCCGCAGACCTAAAATTATTACCAAGCCCAACTTAATAATGGGTTGGACCGAGCTAGACCATCAAGCTACCCGACCCATAAACAAATCTAATCTAGACAATTTCGTTCCTACAAATGTGTGCAATTTGGTGAGTTGGGCCGGGTTTAGGGTTCAAAATTGTAAATAGATCATGGGCCTTGACTCAAGATGAAAGCCTGAATTTATCAACACAAGCCTAGCTTAACATAAATGGGCTAAAAATACAACTTTGGTTGGGCTCAAGCTTGAAGTTGGGCTGAGCCTAAAAAATTCATCTATATCTATATTATTATTAAAAAGTGTCATTTACCGCAAAATATCAAAAAAATGATCAATTGGGATCTATGGGTTACCTTATAATTTTCCCACCCTAGAGGGACTTTTTAGTAAAAAAACAAAAGAAGACATAAAGACTAGACCTGGGAATCGGGTCAAGTGTGTCGGGTTCRGGTTGTGTCGATGCATTTTYGGTTTGATTTTGAGTCGAGCCAARATTTGGGTCGGTTTAGTGAATGCTAGACCCTGACCCTAAACATTCGGGTTAAGGTTGACCCGCAGGTCAATTTGGCTCAACTCTATCAATTATTGAAATTTTAAAAACTGAAACATGAAGAATTGAAGATGTCAAATAAACTATTAAATGAATTAATCTAAGGCTGTGTTTGGTTTGAGGAAAAAGTAGGGAAGGGAAGGGAAAGGCAAGGGAACCTATACAAGGATTGTAAAGGCTTCCCTACCTTTCCCTACTTTATCCTTTAAACCAAACATAGCCTAAAATTCTAACAAATTTACCAATAACAACAAAAAACTATAAAATTAAAAAAGTCAACAATTAAAAGTATAGATTAAATACCAAAGAAAAAAACTAACCTAAATAGATGATTACTGATTAGATGGCCARAAGATAATTGCAAATGTTCTAAACTTCCAATAAAAATTAAATAAGAAATCAAAATAACTTTAAGTTCAAACACATTCCACCATTTCTAAATTTGTTCCTCCTAAAACTCTAATGGACTTAAAGCTTCCGATGATGATCCTTCAAGAATGTTTGACTTAGAAAAGTGCACCTCCAATCCTGACATTTCCTTGGTCTCATTATCATCAACTACATTAAATCAAAGAAGATAAAATATTAAAGCATTAATAATGTAAGAAATATATATGATAATTAAATAAAAACATATGTTATAATCTAAATAAATTATAATGTCATAAAAATTTATTTGACCATGATATCCAAATAACCAATTACGAGTAGTGATCAAAGCTTATGCATTTTTTGGCAAAAGAAAGCTCTCCATTTGGTTATAACTCTACCACCCATACTAAAATCTAACTCTGAAGCATTATAGGAATCTTTAATAAACCCATTGCCATAAAAGACAGATTAGGAAACCAATACAGGTTATCTTTCCACCAAGAAAGAACATTCAATTGTTKCTTGTGATAAAGTCTATGTTCATCCAAATATACGTCTTGCTCTGATTTATTTGAATTTAATGGCTCTTTCTCAAAGTAATTAAATTCCTACATAAAAAATCAATAGTCATAAGTCTTAAAAATTATAAATATAATGAAATATAAAGGAATTAAATTACATTATGCACACTAAACTTACAGGAATGTCATCATTTTCGTCTAAATCAATTCTAACATCATTATTCTTTGTTGAACATGTAATTGATGATGATGCACTAAAGTTTTTGTGTGCATATTCATTAAAGAGCCTATACAACTAAGTATAAAGATTGGTCGATTTTGCATTTGCAATTTCCTCATTTAATTTTTTATAACAAACTTTTACAAGTCCCATTTTGTAACGATGATCAATATTATAGCAAATGCAARTACCACACTATAGCAATCCCAATACTTATCAAATTTACACTTCATTCTTTGTGCCATGTCACTTATAAAGAGATTTTGATTCTCCATTTCTTCAAATAAACACAACTCAATCTTCCAAACACTTTTAAAGTATAAATTCGTTGTTAGGTATTCAATTCCTGAAAMAAAAATTGTGATATCATAAAAAGAATTCAAAAGATTATTAATCTTTTCAACCCTTGACCACTCTTCATCTGTTGTACACCAAATATAATTTTTGTCTACACTTTGCAAGTTAACAAAGGCATGACGATAGATGAGTGCCCTCTCAAGCATCATATAAGTGGAAATCCATCTTATTGGGCAATCCAACCATAAACCCTTGAAACAAATACAACCCCCACGCTTTGCACAATCTTCAAATTTTATCTTCCATGCCTCCAATCATGTCACATATTTCACTCCCTCTCTTATTTTATATGTAGAATAATCAATCACCTTCAAACCTTTTTGTATAATAAGGTTCAAAATATAAGCACCACCTTGAATATGAAAAAAATCACCTTTACAAGGCAAAGAAGATTTATGTTGATCACACAAAATATCTTGCATTATCTAAAGTGATTGTGAATATTTTGTGCTCAATTCCCCATGCTTTCAATAAACCATACACTTTTTCATATAAAGCAAATGTATTGTGTGGAGGAGGAACATGACAAAAGTTCAAAATTTTGCTATTCAACTTTAAACTATGATCCACATAATGTGCAATGAGACAAAGGTACCCCTGAGTAAAGGAAGAAGTCCACATGTCAAATGTCAAACAAATCCTACTAGGAACATTATTTAAATCAAGTTTAAGTCTTTCTTTTTCTCTCTTATAGATTTTCAAACAATGTGCTTTAACAGTGTTCCTAGCCAATGTTTTGACATCTTCATTTAGATAACACCAAACATTTCTTGTTCCTTCATGCTCAACATATGATAATGGTACCCAAGCCGTATAATACATAATGCTATTAACTCTTTATAAACCTCAAGATCAATATTTCTAGTCAATTTCCCTTCCTTAGATATCATCGATTGACCCACATCCTTACAATAACGCCTAGCACAAATTTCAATGTGATGCTTGAAATTAGAAGTGCCATGTGAAGAGTCTACGATGTATACTTTAGAACAATGTTTGCACTTTACTCTTAATTTTTTTATCTTCAAACTTATCTCCTAGAATAATTTCAAATTATTTCCAAACCTCAGAAGATGTTCATCATTTTTTTGAAGCACTTGAGGAATCTTCAATTATATTTATCAACATCACTATCAACCACGTGCACAGAAGACATGATTTACTCTTAAAAACTAAAATACAAACAAAACAAAGACAATGAGTTAGTAAGCAAATGATATTTTTTTATTTTTATGAGTTTTATTTTTGAATTAATTATTCATTGGCTAAAAAAAAGTAACAAAAACATTTTGGATCAATAAAATTTAAAAAGAAGATTAAAGAAAATTCGAATTTAAAAAGAAAATGTACAAGATTAGGAAAAAATCAAAATTAAAAAAAAAGCAAGTCCTATTTTTCATTCATTAAATCATATTTTTAGAGAAAAATGAAAAAATAATTTTATGAAAATTTGTGTTCATTCAACGTTAAGAACATATAACTAAAACCATTAAAAATAATTAAATAGAAAAGAAAAGATTAATTATATCATTCATCATTCTATGCAAAATAAACCATTAAAAATAATTAAATAACTAAAATCTATTAATAAAAAATTAAAAGGCAAAAATTAGATACATTAAATAGAAAAAAAAATAGTAAGAAAACAAACCTTGGAGTTTGTGGTGGCTCATTGTTCAACACCAACAACTTTGAAGTTCTTGAAAAAATAAAGCTTACTTCTTTTGGCTAAAACATAAAAGTGAGAATGGAGAAGACTAAAGAAGACTAAAGAGTAGAGAGAGAGTGACTTTTGAAAAATCAAAATTAATGGAAGAAGGTAAGACATGAACAAAACTAAAAAKTAGTTTCTTGGTTTCACTCTAATCCTAGACTCCTAACCTCCTACACTTATTGTTAAGCTTTTAGCCTAATCTATTCCTAGTCCTATTTGTAATAGGACTCATTTATAACTATAATTACAAAAATACCCCACCCCATAGGGKCGGGTTTGGGTCAAACACATTCTTGGGTCATAACATGGGAACCCTAACCCTATTTTTTCGGGTGGGTTAGGGTCGGGTTCATAGGTTGGGTCAACTTTTTGTCGGGTCTAATAAAGACTAAACCTAAATGCCTTGAGCAATTTTTTTTTTCGGAAAACGGTACCAAACAAGAGGGTGTTGTTTGAARCACCACTTTCTCTAATGTAGCGCCTATGTGGCATCATTTTCTCAAAATGGACTTTTTCTTTTCTTTCTTCTTTGAAAATTAAGAGCCTTTTCTCTTTTCTATTAAAAGGAGGAAGTCAAGAATTAAAGACTCAAAGGTGGTGATTCAGATTGAGATCTTTGCTGCAATCGATTTAGGTAAGTTATTTTCTTCTTTAAATCATTGAGTTTTTCTTTTCATGCATTTTAAGATTACTTTTTAAATCAAGAATTAGGGTATTTTTGCCAAACATTCATTTTCGACCACTTTCTAGCAAGGAAAATGATTCTAATCA